CTTCGACAAGTAATATCAACATAGATGGCTATAAGTTCATGTTTTGGTATGGGAAATCAAGAAAAACACTCTGATAAAAATAGCAGGTCCTATTGAAGAATATGACAAGTGTGCTGTGCAAGTTTGATTCAATTCCTACAAACAAAATCAAATCATTGTTCAATCAATGAAACTATATACAGGATGTGCTGACTACTTCCTTTCAGAGCATGCTCTCATAGCAGCTTTAAATCCCTCTAATGTATCAACCGAAATGACTCTAAATTTAGATGGTAGTTGATTCTAATCCCTGATGGTCTTTGGAAATAATGATTGTACATAGGCGTCGGATGTTTATTTTCACTTGATAGAAACGGCTTTTACCTCTGGTTCTGCTGTCGTTTGGGATTTAATATTGTTGTCCGTTTAAATAGCATTCATAGTCTGTTGGTTCGAGCATTTCCCATGGTAATTTTTTTACCACATTTGTTGCACAGAAATGTATCCGCGGTCCGTGTAAATATTAAGAACAAATCTCGCTGCTCTTTTTTGCACTTGTTTCAATTAATAAAAAAAACTTGTTTTCACAGACAGAAATTTCAATCAGTACACGTTAAAGGGATTAAGTTTGTTGAATTTCTATTGATAGCCGTTTTAAATGATTGAGGGTTAACACACAGTGTGATGTAGACGACGCAGTCGACAACAACGACAGATTTGGTCCCTATGTGTCGCAACAGCTTCGCTGTCAGTTGCTACAAACTGGTGTAAAAAAAATCGAACTTTTACACTTTAATAACGACTGTTTACAAACATTGGAATTTTTCTAAATACTAAGTCTTTTCTACCCCCAGGAAGGGATTTCCTTAGTTGTATTTGACAGAACTTTTCGAAATTTTGGGTCCTCAATGCTCTTGATCTTCGTACTTTTTTTTACCTTTTTAACTTTTGTGATTCTAGTGTCACTGATGAGTCTTTTGTAGACGAAATGAGCGTCTTGAGTACACAACATATAAATGATTTTTTGACAGCAACCTAGTCTTTTTTATTTTTTTACAATCCGATCTACAAATGAACTTTGATTGTTGAAATATGTATATACATGTATTTACAATGTCACATGGTAGCCTATCCAGAGAGGGGCCGTTTTCAAGACATAGATAACCACCTGTATAAATGATCGAAAATTTTCGAGAGGTTCCGAGAATCTTGTTTCCGGAAATATCCGAGTGGCCCATAGAAGCTACCAAAATACGCACCAATATATAGGCACGCAAAAACGTTTTTATTCGAGCGTCACTGGTGAGTCTTTTTTAGACTGAACTCGCGTCTGGCGTACAACATTTTAATCCTGGTATTTTTTTATATCTACATATCTTTTTATATAAATTGGTTCTTTTGAAAGTATGTTCAGGTATTCATTAAACTTCTGAAAATAAGATATTCTTCAAAACTAAGTTTTCATATAGAATATTTGGATTGATTTAAGTAACTTCAAGAAATCTTTAAAATTTGAGATGTTTTATGAGACCAAAATAATTGTCAGTATATAAGAGGTCCCAATGAAGCTGGTGTGTTACTCTCATGAACTTCTTATAAATTGCATGCTACAGGGTTTTCACTTCACATGGAAATTGGACTTTAAATTTATCTATACAACATAAACCATGAGTACAGACAGCTTCAATAACGAATATAAGAACAATTGAAGGCATCCAGGAAACAAAATATGAAGATATGATAGATAAAATAAATGCATCCAGATTATAAAACAAACTGACTGCTTAAATTCATATTTCGATTGGTTTATGCAATTTGCATTAGACATCCGGTTTGCAGAAACTGGGATTTGCAATAGGATTATGGAAAAATTATGTATACTCCAATGTAATAAATAAAATAGTCAAGCCTTAAAATGTAAATTCAAATAGTAAAATTGAGAATGGAAATGGGGAATGTGTCAAAGAGACAACAACCCGACCATAGAGCAGACAACAGCCGAAGGCCACCAATGGGTCTTCAATGCAGCGAGAAACTCCCGCATCCGGAGGCGTCCTTCAGCTGGCCCCTAAACAAACAAGTATACTAGTTCAGTGATAATGGACGTCATACTAAACTCCAAATTATACACAGGAAACTAAAATTAAAAATGATACAAGACTAACAAAGGCCAGAGGCTCCTGACTTGGGACAGGCGCAAAAATGCGGCGGGGTTAAACATGTTTTTGATATCTCAACCCTCCCCCTATACCTCTAGCCAATGTAGAAAAAACAAACGCACAACAGTTCGCACAGTAAAACTCAGTATAAGAGAAGTCCGAGTCCGATGTCAGAATAGGAAACAAAAGAAAATAAACAAAATGACAATAATACATAAATAACAACAGACTACTAGCAGTTACTGACATGCCAGCTCCAGACCTCAATTAAACTGATTGAAAGATTATGTCTTCATCATATGAATATCAGGCACAATCCCTCCTGTTAGGGGTTTAGTATTAGTAGCTTTATATAAGCAATGTACACTTTTCTATTCACAGCTATCCAACATTGCTTTCAATTGACTTGTGCAAAAAGTACACACAATTACATATTTTCAATAAAGGTGTTTTATCATCATCATTATCTTATTCTATTCACAGTCAATTATTTCAAATCAAAAGCAAACAAAAAAAATTCAGCAATATTTTTTGGGTGACCAGTTATAGCGGTCTCGGGTTCACGTATTTCTTTTCTTTTTTTTAAAAGAAAACAACTTGTTTACCTCTGGTCCCGCTGTCGTTGGGGATTGGACATTGCTGTGCGTCTATATGATCTATTAGCTCAAACTGTATATAAAAATGAATACATAACAGTATGTTGGTTGGAGCATTTCCCATTGCAATTGTTTTACCAAATTGTTTACACAGCCAGGTGCTCGGTCTGTGTAGTTATAATGGACAAATCTCGCTGCTCTCTATGTACTTCTAATTAGTTCATAGACAAAAGAAAAACATTCAACGGATAAAATTTTTTGAATTCTATAAAAAGGCGATTTCAAGGAATGTGGATTAACATAAAGTGTAATGCAGATGACGCGGACGACTACAACGACAGATGTGGTTCCTATAGGTATCGTAACAGTTGACAGTGATGTAAAAAAAAACACCATTATCATGACACTTTGACGTTGTTTTGTTTTCTCTCTCGATCTTAAGACTGAAAAAGAGTTAATGATGCCCTTTACCATGAATGGACCAAACAATTGTAATTAAACAATTTTTAATTCTTTTAATTCTTTTAATTTGCATTAAAATTTATATTACAGATGGGTGTATTGATTTCAAATACACGAACTACTAAAATTTCTCTTCTATAGCAATTTGTTTCCGAGGATAATGAATGTTTCCTCCTGATTAACATTTTATCTCTTTAATCATCATTCTTTTCCTTTTTCCAAACATTTGCTCAAAGCTAATTTCTTAGTAAAACAGTAAATGAACATAAAAGAATTATGTACATGTAACCCATGTAAAATTGCCATTATCGTGTAAAATCCGATAATGGTATATTTCTATTGATGTTAAAATGACTTGGTTTGTTAAGATTCGTCTCTAAGGAAGTTACCTGTTGTATATTTCAATTATTATTCGATATAAAAATCCAACGTCTTATTTATCAATTGAGAAATTTCTATATTAATCAATATCTTTATCAATTATGTAACTACACGACTATAGATTTCCATTTTATTTATAAACAAAACATTTAAAAGGTATAGGGTATATACACTTATCTGACAATGACAGGGATTGGCTTTATATGAGGGTCTGGAGGTACATAAACTAATCTGACAATGACAGTGATTTACTTTATATGAGGATCTGGATTGGGGTCCTTCATTTCTGTTTGCATTAAATTTTTAGATCATTTTATTCTATTCTTTCTATTATACCCCATTATTTCCTATTCTTTATTTTTTGGCCCACTTTTCTCTATTCTTTATTAATTGGACCCAATTTTCTCTAACCTCGGTCCATTATTCTCTATTCTGTAAACTCCATCCAAACCCTTTTATATAGTTAATCTGTGCATGGAAGTATTATAATACTTCCATGATCTATGTCATGACACAACAGAGAACTTTTATATTACTTTCCATGCTACATGTTGCAGCGCTGAAAATCAGGAAAAAATAATGTTTTAAAGTTTTATTAAGCTCCCTCATAAGATATAATTCGAATATAAATTGTTTGGAAAAAATATTAAGAGTATGAATTAATTAACAATCCTTTTCATATAGATAGACAAAAACGTTTCCTTTAATAACAAAAAATGTAAATGTCCGGATGTGGGGCTTCTTCTATCTTAAAAATCCTTTTCTTACCATAGAGATTGTCTCGATAATTGTACAAAACTACCCAAACTACCACGCATTTTTACTGAAGAAAAATTGCGGTCGCAAAAATAATTTTGACTGCTAGTTTTGTGTTCATGCGATGAATAAATTAAACGAAAATGCCTAATTGTAAAACACTTAATAAGATTTTGTTCTATAGCTAGTACGGAAAAAATAAAATTGAGAATGGAAATTGGGAATATGTCAAAGAGACAACAACCCGACCAAAAAGCAGACAACAGCCGAAGGCCACCAATGGGTCTTCAATGCAGCGAGAAAATTCCGAACCCGGAGGTGGTCCTCAGCTGGCCCCTAAATGAAATTGTGTACTAGTTCAGTGAAAATGGACGGCACACTAAACTCCAAAACATATAAATGAACTAAAATTAAAAAACATACAAGACTAACAAAGACCAGAGGCTCCTGACTTGGGACAGGCGCAAAAATACGACGGGGTTAAACATGTTTTGTGAGATCTCAACCCCCCCCCCCTGTAAAACCATTTTAATTTTGAAAAAGGTTATTTGAACGAGTACCATACAAGATGATCGTATGCTACTAGCCTGCTTAACTTTTGTCCAAAAAATACTAATTTTGTTTATTAATTCATTATTGAAATTATTTTATTTTTGTAATTTTGTAGGTAAGATGCACGACCTAGCGCCAGATAAGGCCCTCTTATATTGGATACCGTCCGGTTTAGTTGCCATTGGTATGCTTATAACACTCCTTTGCTCATTCTGGAAATTTCATAAAAGAAAAGTGTTTATACGTCAGCTTCAGCAAGAGTACATGGAAGTTAACCTGGCAATTAAAAGACCTAGAATTGGTGCTATAAGATGCAATACACATGGAGCAAGATGGGAAGATTTAATGGCGTCATTAAGTTCTTCCGGCTTTCCTAATATTGCGCCTTATTTTAGACATATCAACCAAGTAAATAATTTTAACACGTGCGGTATGTATCTTTATTACACAGTGTTTTTTCATATAAATTCTTATCAGTTAATGATTTATTTTGCGTTAAAATGACACATCAGGTTAGGCGAACTCTATTAGTAATTATAATATTTCTTTGTTGGTGTGCAGTTTGACGTTCTGTTAATGATGCATTATAATTTGTGGTTTTATATTGTCTTGTGTTATGACAGTGCACTTTCAAAAGACATTCTAACACCTTTCCCTCGTTATGTTTTACTTGAAAGGTTGCAAAAAAATGTTAACGGTATTATTTATTATTGTTGTATTTGTACTTTTGATTTTGTCTAGTGTACTGTTGTAGAGATTTTCCGATCTTATCTTTATACTACGTTTTTCTATATACTTTCTTTTGTTCCAATGATTGACATTAAGATGAAGAGTTGGCTGCAAGGTCAGATATATTGTCTAAGAATGATACCAAACTAAAGAACCCCAGTTACAAACAGCTAGATGTCTTTTTGATTAACTAAGATAGTTGTGTTGCTGTCTCTTTTGTATTTTAAACATTCCAACTAAATTTGCAAAAGTTCGAAAGTTCGAATGGGAATAACAAAATGAGGTTAATAAATAGCTAATTTGCATAAAAATCACCAAGGTTTATTCGAACAGTACTATTCCTTTTCGGTAATTTTGAATTTTTTAAAGTTTTGTTTTTTCCCAATAGTTACCAGTAACAACCATATTAGTGAAAATATAACCGGTTAGGTTTGAGTTATGTCGCTTTGTCCCACGAAAATAACTTTTCACGACAAACCCGCCTAAACACTTAAAAACTGTAAGATTTACACCAGGAATACTTCTTTTTGCGAGCAACTTACGAAAACTAAAAAAAAACAAATGACACCAGACACGGACGGATATCGGTAAAAATGTTTTAATTGGAATGCCTGTATATTTCCCTCACATTTTATTATTTTTTTAAACTATTTTTCGTCGAAAACTATAAGCTCTTTTAAACTTTTATTTACGTTTTAATGATTTTGTTGACTGTTATGGAATTCCTTTGTCAGAGATGACCGGTCACCACAATTTAGTCTTTCTCTCTCGTTTATGACCTCACTGAATGCTTTTTACCGACGGTTAACATACCGGTATCATTACAAACTTGCTTTCACAATGACAAAATGGACTTACTCTTTTGGAACACCTCAGTTCGTATTGAGTTTTAGTGGGATTTGTGTTACTCAATCTGTTGTTTTCTGTGTTTTGTTTTGTAAACTATTGTTTGTCTGCTTGTATATGTGATTGCCATTGTTTTGTCTTTTTTTTACTGGTGGTTGTCACCTTGGTATCGTTTTACCCTTTTGTCTCTGAGTTTCAAGAAATTATAATAAAATTAATTTTTACTAGGTACATTATATGAAGAGAAGGAAGATTCACCAGACAGACACTTGCCAGATAAACGTAATCATGAAATATATGATCATGAAATTAAAACTGGTATTAATGCTTATTATGAACAGACTGGTTATATTGAATCAGAAACAAAACCAATCAGAGAGAAAAAGAAGAAGAAAAAGCGATCAAAAGTTAATTTTTATGGAGCCACATATCACAACAAAGACTGTGGTGATAGCATTGAAATTGCTACTGATTCGTCTCCAAGACGACTTCCGGTGATAGAAAATCATTTATGGACAGATTATACGAGAAACAGTCCACCGTCCAACGAACGAAAAATACCGTCCATTTATTATGCTCGCAGCTTTATCCATAGCAACGACAGTGAAGTGTTTTCACCTCCACATAGTAAGTTTATGCTTTATTAGAGAGTTCTTAGAAAGTGACCAGCATACAATATGCTACGTATTTGATACTTATAAATGTTTTGTAATGGGAGACCCGAATCTTAAACTTATATCTCATTGAAACCAAATTCTTATTAACATCCTTTGACCAGAACCGATCAATTCACTAATACGGTAACACGATAAAAGAATTATTCGCTCTAGGCTACTATAGATACGTGATGGCATTATACCAGGGGTGCATACTATATAAAAATAAATCATTGAATTGTCCTGTCATTTCAATTTATATTTAATAAATGAAGTGCGTTTAACATAGTCATGCTAACAACCGTAAATAGAAGTTCACTCTGATAATTTCGTATCAGTTAGGCCTTTAACAGACAACTAACTTGACAATGTTCTGTTGATAACGACAACACATCTGAATTACTAAATGACCTTTTCCGTTCATGATGAAACTGGTGAAGTCGTTTAGCAAAATTATACCATTGCCCGACAAAAAACTACATATAAAAAACTAAAAATTCATTGAAGAGTTTGGGATGTGGCGGACCACTTTTACAAGATTTAGGCCATATACAAGTTTTTGCATAAGTCGCTCAAAACCTCAGAATTATAAATTACATAACAGAATATGTGGTTAACATGTATGCGAACGTGTAACCGCGTAAAACTACACCGCACTTTTATCGTCTAGTCATCATCTGATGGACACGATTTAATCTCAGTGTTTATGGTACAAGGTTCTTTCCCTAAAGTGGCATGCGCACTGGAATCGGTTTCACACGTCGCAGTTTAACCTCAGTGTTTTTAAGTCTGTCTGTTTTGAGGTTCTGCATGGAGGACTCTTTACTACATTCAATACATTTTATACTTTATACTAGAAATTTAATAAAATTGTCTTAGTGTGTAAAAATCATCAGCAATCAGACAATACACCAACATCTTTGTTAACACATTTAAAAATTAAGGAAGACGGATTTATATATTAAGTTTTTCTTGTTTCCGAATCCCTATATATCTGTTGTATATTTGTGCACTTTTAAAAATAATAAAATTGTGTTTAAGTAACTACAATGTGGTAATCAAATAAGAGTTTTAAATGCCAATGGCATTCCATATCGAATTGCGAATGAAAAAGGTAGTTACATATAGCATTAGTCTCTTAATCGTCATATACTTCATGAATAACTTATTATAACCAATATTGATATTGAATATAACCTTCTCAAATTGATAAAATGGTATATGCTTCGAATTGAAATATTAATTCATTAAACAAAATCACAGGCAGTTCTCTCTGAAAACCTTTTACCTGTTTACTTTAATTTTTTAATTTTAATTTTATTTTATAAAAATCTTTTATTATATAGAAAAACATGGCAATTGTGTTGTTCTTTTTGTTTTGTTTTTTTTGTTGTTGTGTTTTCTTTTTGGAATTTGATGCTGATGGCCGATCTTTGATAGTCTCTACTGAATTCACAACTTATTTTTAGACACGGAGCGATTTAAAGTTTGTCAAACTGTAACAGCAGCTGTCTGTTGTTGAAGGTTTAAATAACCTTAAATTGTCTTCAGATTTTTCAGCGTTTTTGATTGTTGTCTCAATGACTTATATATCAGGCCCGGATTTAGTCAAAATTATCGTATTTAAGGATCTCTTGAAATTATTCAGAACCTCCATAATTCGATTTTACTACTTCTACAATTCGATTTCAGGACCTTTACAAATAATCAGTCAAAATGCTTTATTTCAGGACGTCCTAAATATTTCAGGATATCCTTCATATTTATGGAGCTCCATAATTACAAATGTATATATTTCAGGATACCCTCGAATGTTTAAGGGTGTCCTGTAATCGAACTGTGTAGGTCATGAAATAATTGTGAACCTTCTTAGGTGTTCAAGGATATCCCGAAATTGCATTGTGGAGGTCTCGAAATATACAATTATGGAACTCCATAAATATTAAAGGTATCCTGAAATATTAAAAAACCTCCTGAAATAAAGCCATTTTGACTGATTATTTGTGGAGGACCTTAAATATTTCAGGATATCCTGAAATCGAATTATGGAGGTTTGATGTTTTAGATTTAAAGTATAATTCTATTTATTTGCAATCGGATTATATTGTTATCAGTCAACAACTATAACATGCATAAGTCGCTCCAATACATTGTTATAAAAAAAGCTATTTGTCGAATTTTAGAGTAAGCATTATTACACATAAGTTGTAGTTATAATTCTTTTCTTTTTTGTTTCAGAAGTAGAACGTGCGGAGTCTAAACGTTCAGCAAAACATTCAAAACGTTCAAAAAGAGAGAAGCCATCACAGGAAGAACGAGTTTTCTGGGTTTTGGCAGCTGATATACAACAGTCGTCAGTGTAAATTGTATAGAAAAGTGGAAGCTTAACTTACAAAATGTGTGGTGATATGTTTTTGTAAACTATATGAAGGTAGTACCAACAACCTGTAACCACTTGTTATAAAGTTAAAATGAAGCTTTAAGTTTGAGCATCTATATAAGAAGTGGTATGCAATATGTCAAGGCTGCAAGACATGAAGGCACATTGTAGTCGTTTGGTATAGGTTGTTTTTTTTTGTTTTAGTGTCGTTGGGTTGCTGTTTATTATTTATGTATATAAGGTTTTCTACCCCAGGCATGATAAATTGGTACACGGTATTGGTTTTTCTCATTGTTGAATGCCGCACGGTGGACAATAATATGAATAGTTGTCTCATTGGCAATCGTTCCACATACCTTATTTAATATAAGTAACTTTATAACTAACTTTGGCACACTTTTATAAATGACCTAAGCGTGATTTGACACACTTTTTTCGGAAGTTTTGGTTTTCAATGCTTTTAAACTTTGCAATTTATTTGGCCTCTCAACTGTTTTGAACTCAGTGCCACCGATTAGTCTTGTTTAAACGCAAATTTTAGTTTATAAACCTGTCATCTTTTAAAAAGCTTTTTATTCATACACAATATACCTCATTCATTTATTATAAAATACTTGTCTACATAGCTTTTCATCAGAATTGAACATGAATACCATGGCGAGTTTATTCATTAGATCAGTGACTGCTAACCCTTCTGGTACATGTAACGACTGAGTTTTTGTTGCGATTGTATTGCTTTATAAAAATAAGGAGATGTGGTATGATTGCCAATGAGACAACTATCCACTATCTTTATTTTCCTGTAACTGGTGAAGTGTTTTATTTTCCTGTACGTCTTTGCTCTTTTTGCTATGGTGTTGTTTTTCCTTCGTTCGGCTACGGTTTTTATTGAAAGTTTGAAATAGTCTTACTGTTTAATGATTTTAAATCAACTTGGGCTCCGATGGAGTTCTCCTGGAATTATTTTAAAAATTAGAAGATAAACTATTTCAATCGGCAATCAAAAATATTAAGTGGCAGTAGATTAAATCAAAGCAAAAAGGAAAAATGGTGTAAAGACAAACAATAGTCGACAACAAGCGACACAGAAAACTTTAGAGTGAGCATCACGGACCGAGCTTTATTTTTTGCTTTGAAGATAATCACTACTGTTCCTGTTTCACGTGTGAAATTCCATTATTGATATGTTGAATAAAATGTATGATATCGTCTTAAATATTGTACTGATATTAATGGTATTATGATAAGAAAGTCTTATTGCATTATAATTCATGTTTTTTGTCCCACAGGCAGAGGTATGGATAGTAAAATAAGGGATTCTGTCAGAGTTGATAATTCACCCAAAACAAGGCAAGTTGAAGACATTTAAGCTTTTTAGTGGGGTTAAATATGCGGTATACAAATAGAAAATTGAATATTCAATGCAAGCAATTTTTTTTTAACAAAATCCTATACCCAAGCGCCTGTGATTTGTTCAGTTAAGAACATAATTAAAATGAAAAATATTCACAAATATTTATGTAAATACAGTTTGAATGTGAAATTAACAACTTAATAAAGGTAGAGAAGAAGGTTGACTAATATATCGTTTTTATACTGTTTTCTTGGGTCGTCCTTAAATTGACAAATACTATACATGAAGAAGGATTTCCATGTGTTTTAGTGTGATAAAAGCAACCACCTTAAATAAAGAGTTGTAAAAATAATCCTTTCAAAAGAATATTTTACTCTTGTAGAAAGGAAGTTTCCATTTGTTAAAATTTATTTATAGCCTTTCCACTATAAGAGGCGTCAGAGGAAGCGACATAACTTTACTTAAGTTTCTAGAAAATACATGTATGCTTACATCCTTGGTTTTCAAATTTTATGGTATATGAGCGTATATGAAGGTATATCCAGAACAGTGCGTCGACTGAACCAAATATTTATAATTGTTTATTGTATTAGTAGAGAGTTTCAGGGAAACGGGAGGTAAGCCAAATGTGAAACATAATTAACCTCCGATTGCAAATTATGGGTATGTCTATATAATTTAATTTTGGATTTAACACGTCTTCTGATTGGCTGAAACCTTTTTTCAATCAGCTCATAGACGTATTTTTTTCATGTGACCGTGACGTCATCAACGTTTTTTCATGATTTACTCCTTAAAAATGGAATTTAGAATTAAATTATAAGGACTTACTGTAAACAATTTTTCTGTCTATTCGAAATAACATCAAAAATGAGGTGCACATTTTTAAATAACCCGCGTATTCAGTGTGCACCACATTTTAGATGTTATTTCTCCATAGAGTAAATCATGAAGCTAAATTTCCAAACCAAATCTTTGTACATGTATCTATGGAAGTAATTTGTGGTAACGAAATCCCCGACTTAATTATTTACCAGTTATACATGGAAGTTGTCCTTACAATTTGTCTGTTTTCATAAGTGTTTTTAGTTTTGACATCGTGCGTTGCTAAAAATATGAACATTATTAATGAACTCCAAAAATAAAATGATTCAAATTAATCTAAACATTTGGAATATCAAAACAATGTGACATGTGTTTTTTTGGACAAATGCGTGTGTGTTGTTTGAAATTTTTGCCGTTGAGTTGCTGTCTCATTGGCGTTTACCCGAAATATCCTGTTGTGCATATAGATCGTTAAGAAAATGATATTCATACCGAAAGCATTAGAACATGACTTTGTGTTTATACCTTTTTGTTTTGATGGGTATTACAGATAAAAAAAACAGTATATATTTTTTTATTCTTTATTTACTGTATAATATTGAATATCGTTTGAATATTAACCTTAAAACTTTAAGGCTTTCATGTTTATATTCTAAATGAACTGATAGTATTATGTTGATATAACAAAACAACAAAAGTTGGTTTTGCCAGTAATAAAATGTTGAAAATAATTATAAAGGATGATATGTTTATACTTGTTGTTTTAAACATTCGTATTGTGACATTAAAGATTATTTGTTTGTGTTTTTTTTTTCTAATTTAACAATACACACAAGCATATGTCATCAAATCATAACTGCTATTTTTAAAAGAGAAAATACCAAGAGGACATTCAAAAACTGCAAGTCCACTGCCGTAGCGCACTCACAAAGGAATTGAGGCCATGAAGGGGGGGGGGGGGAGTCAGAGGATGTGCCCACAGCGGAACGAAAGTTTGTCTTTAGATTGAACTGTTAACTTGCGTTTCCCTGATATGACACAAAGGGGATTGTTAGGGTACAAGTAAAAAGAAACAAGCATGAAATAACAAATTGTGTGTTTATATCTAACTTTTAGTTACAACAAATAGTTATAATAAACTGTCAAGTATCAAACCCTCTGATTCTACGATGACCAGAACTATCAAATTTCAAATGCCCATTTTCCCTGACAGTTTCAAGTCATTTCTATGGACATAGAGCATAGCAAGACCACACAATATATCACAAGCCTTAAGTTTGCAGATCGTTCCAAGGTTTTCAGGCGCCTTAAACATATACATGTAGTCTACATATCTCTCTGAACAGTCGGATTTCCTGTCACCGGCAGAAAAGAAGTAAAATTTTATGATATACCTATCTTACTAGAAAATAATGTTATAAAACATTCTGATTTCGATAAAGATTTTAAAAAAATCTCAGTTAACTCTGGAAATTCGAAATTGTAAGGCATTCTTTAGAAGTGTAAAGTGCATGAAATAAAATTTCTTTGAAACTGCTGATTCATGCGTTTGAGTTCTAAAAAAGGGTGCGAGATGTTCATAAAACCAAACGGCTCTTTATGTTGCTGATGAAAGCATTTTGATACAAAATCGCAAAAATGCAACTCGGCTCTACATGTTGCTGATGACGGCATTTTGATTCATAATTGAAAATTTTACATGTTTTGTAAATTCTACATCAAAGTCCAAGAACGTCACTAACCAAAATATAATAATGTGTATTAGAAATACAGCACAAAATATTGAAATAAAGAGATATGGTATGATTTCCAATGAGACAACTATCCACCAAAGTTCAAATGAAATAAATGTCAGCAATCATAGGCAACCGTACAGCCTTCAACAATGAGAAAAAACCCATACCGTATAGTCGGCTATAAAAGTCCCCGACATAAAAAATGAGAAACAATTCAAACAAAAAAACTATAACAGCATACTTTATAACAAAACAATTTACGAAAAACACATTTGACACACAAGAACAAACGACAACCACTGAGCAACAGGTTCATGACTTGGAACAGGCTCATAAAGAATGTGGCGTGATTAAACATGTTTGTGAGCGCTCAACTCTCCCCTAACCTGGGACAGTGGTGTAACAGCAACAACTTTAGAACAAACTGACTGTCAAAATCAATTGCAATTGGCTTAACTCGAAAGATAGGTACGAGAAAAAAAGTATAACAAAAATACCGAACTCCAAGTCTAAAAGTCACAAAGCACCGACATGAAGAGTACTCGCAGTTACTGAAAGCTAGTTCAAAGTCAATTACAACAAATAAATAAATCATGTTCTCCCAGACTAAAGTATCAATCAGTACACATCCAATTGATTTAGCGTAAAGACTTCATAAACAGTCTGAGAAACGCACGACCTTGTGCAATGCCAAAGTATAAGTAAACAGTATCGACAGGATGTAGGATAAAGAGTTCTCATAACTGTACATATATATAGCAATAAATATTTAAGTTATATTTTAATTTCTCAAAAACAAAATCGATGTTAGTGCCAATAAAAACAATATTTAAAGATTTTACTACTTTAATAAATTGGTAACTATAAGGATAAGTTTTTCAAAGGATCAATTACTTTACTTGGATTGTATCTAAAATCTAAACAACATCACCGTAAAAATTGGGATGTGATATCTCAGGTTCTAAAGGTTCTAATTAATTTTTGGTAACGAAATCCATGACTTTATAATTTATTCGTTATACATAAATTACGTTAATTGAAATCTGAAACTCGACTACAGACACAGGCATACCGAACAAGTTGTGAAATATACACACTATATGAAGGGACCAAAGGAACATTACCGTCCAAAATGGAAAAAAAAATAACAATCGGGAAGAAAAATCGTCTATTTTGTCATCAATTTTAACTTTACTTCAAACAGAAATTTGGTTTTAGTTTCAATGAGAATGTCCCACATTTACATTTTGGTGATAAATATTAAAAATTTACCAAAGTCTGATACACTTACGGTTTTCTGCAGTCTTCATGCATTTATAACTTGGGTCCGATGATCTGTTGAGAATTAGTCATATTATTAAATGTAAGAACCTAAAAGTACCTGATATGACGAATGGAGGTCTGATACTGTGAATTTTAGTAAAGATTTAAATATTTCTTTTTTGAAAATTGCCGCTATTGTAAAATAGATTCAGGGGGAAATTGGCCCTGCCCCTTTGATTTCAAAGTCAAATCTAACTTTTACACATGTACGCGTTAGAAAAGAAATAATAGAAAGTAATATTCGCGGGCGGACATCTGTTTGACATTTTATATACAGTCATGGCTGATCGGACTGCGAATAAATTCCAGGCGTTCAGGCAGTGCCTAGCACCTTTACCTTTCAGTTGTCCCATTCGATGTCAACCCGCTGTGCCTACAAAACGTACCAAATTGATAAACAGTTAAATATATTATCGTCCAAAATGTAAATCAAATTTTTGATACTGGACGTAAGAAAAAAACCTGCAAGTTACTTCTAGCAATCTACAGGGAGATTGAATTATGTATTATGTTTTTTCCAGCCATCAGGGGCCGTGTCAATGAAAGTATCCTAGGATATGTCCTAAGATAGGTCTTAGGACATCATTTAGGATGGTCTTAGGACGTGTCTAAGACATGTCTTAGGACGTAAAACAAAGCTATCTTAGGACAGTCCTAACTACGATGGTCCTAGGATCATCCTAACACATTTATTTAATTGATAAAAAGATGTAGAGAATTCAATGACATAAATTTTATTGTATTTCACTAAATGTGTAAAGAGAGGGAGGATGACTATTTTATGGTAAACAATTTACGCAAAATTTTATGGTCCTGTTTCCCATAAAACTATTCCGCTATCATAAAAATTCTATTGATTTTTTACAAACTAGCTCTTCCTATTTTCTACTACTAAAGATCTTAATGTTCATAATAATCTTAGACCATAAAATTTGACTAATTAAGTTCACAAGTTCAAGCAAGTCATAACTATAGTATCTTAACCATCAAACAGAAGTAAATTAATACTAGTACATACGTTATTATACATGATAAAATGACATGAATGAATTTCATACGACAACAAAACTAAATAGTCACACAACTTTGTTAAATGCGATATTCGTGCTTCAATTTAATGTTAGTATGTAAATTAGTTTTGTCTTTGGGTCCACTCGATTTCATTACATATATTGAATAAGGATTAATTAAAAAGAAGTCAATTTTTTTCCACATTTAAATTAACATTGCACCGTTTGGTTAAGTGCAAAAAATGTCACTCATGATGATAGTATTTTTTAAGCAAAAAGGACAGCACCACTTATTCTATATGAGCGTAACAATATGACAACGTCAAACATACTTTTTGGAGAGTTACTATTGATGTCCATTCCATATTAATTTGTATATAGAAGAGCAATTTTAGTTTATAGTAAAGCACTTCACCAAATGACTCCGCAATATCTCAATGTATTTATATATGTGCATCAAATCAGTTCTAGCACACCCACACAAAGTTCTTGTAATATGTTTATTATTCCAAAAACTCAAACTGAATACTATAAATGCTTTTTGTTGATATCTGGAAGGATTTTAAAGATCAAATTTGTCTACAAATTGAAAATTATGTAACACAATTGAATCTTTAACAAATATTGAAATAATATTTTTCTTAATTAGTTTATTTTTTATAACATTATAATAGTTTAATATTGTATTAGTATTTTTACTATTGAGTTTATGCCATATTTGTTGTTTTTAATTCGTTTAGGAACATCGTAACTTTTAGGACTATCCTAAGACACCTATTTATATATCCTAACTTTAGGACCAAATTTAGGACATATCTTATTTTAGGAGACTTTCGTTAACCTGACTTAGGACTAAGACGTGTCCTAAGACCATCCTAAGACATGTCCTAGTCCTAGGACAGCTTCGTTGACACGGCCCTGGCAGATCTTGAGGTCATCCGAGTTAGCAGTACGTCAGTGCTTTGATTATTCCTGAAAGCGTCGATATCATATTAAACATTACTTCTATTATACCAATCGCATAAAATTGGAACAAAAGACTTTTTCTATTATTCAAAAACAAACAATTATGTTCTGTTATCAATACCATTCCACACAACTTTTTTTTTTAATAAATGTGTTTATCTATTATGAAAAAGATTTCATTATTTTTCCTCTCTAGTATATATCATCATTAAATAAATCATTATTAGTAGTAGTTAGTAGTATTCTAAAGAACAAAAAGACATATTTGCTTTTAGATAGAACTTAAATATAACTTAGACAGGTCCTAAAGACCACCCAGATTAGGACTAGACTAAGACAGTGACTGTGTTAATTTACCATTTATAAAACCTGTCCGTTGATTGATAGCACTAAGGTCAGTCATAAGATCTTCTTAAGAAAATGTCACAAGAAATTTTAGAAAACCAGTATCCTGAAATTTCAAAAAATTGAATTTGATATTTCCATTTAAATTAACCTATTCCCTATTAAAAAGAAATTTCCGTAGCAATAACACATCATTCTTACAGAAATTCGTAGGACATGTTTTCAAGATATCATTATAAAAGATTAAAGGTGTAACTATCTTACTGTTCTGACGTTTATGTCGTACAATCTACCCATTTTAAGATTAAGATGCAGATCCATATATCTACTCTATTAGCATGCACGTTTCGTATATATCGATAGATTGTCCATCTATGTACATTTTATCTTAACAATAGAAATGTGGAGAAAAACCTGTGAAACCCTTTCTAGTATAAGCAGATATCTGTAAAGTCGAAGCTTTCAATGTAGTTTTTCTGTCGCAATAATCAGATATGAAGAGACACTTTCTACTGGATGATGATAGAAAAAGATAGTGTCCGGTCAAAAGAGAAAAAAAAAAGAAAATAATTTAAACATCAACAACAAAAAATACAGTTAATTGATAATGCGGAGTCAATTATTAAATCAGACTTAAATCTTACAATGCATGTCATGTGAAGTCATGTAAAAACGGCAATTAGAAAAATCTACTTATCCTTAAAACAATAAGTTTAAGAGGAATATAAAAAGGACATAAATTTTGTTAAAGCCATGAGAAAAGAAGAAAAAATTTAAAAGTCAGGTGGAAGGATATTTCATAAAAGTAAAACTGCAAATGTAAAAATAAATATGGGAGTAATTAAACAACTCAATCACTGGGATACATTTGATTATATCTATATATATATACATCATTTAAATAAATAAATAAATACGAATAAAAGAAGATATGGGGTATACGTGATGAGACATGTCATTGATTACCAGTACAAGACAAATCACTACATCAATTTGTATGTCCACTTAGATTATTTGCACTGTCCTTGAATCCCAATCCACAAAAATGAAGTAGTAGCCATACACATTTTACATTTTGCAAAACATTGGCCAGGGTTTTTGTTTTAATTTTGTCTAGGTGCTTTAACACATATTAATGATATACATTACTCTTTTTTTTTCAATTTAAGAATATTTATTAAAGCGCTGCTACACTTTGAATTTCCTCAAATCTACATGGCCGTTGTAGGAAAATGTCATTGAGAACCTCAGTTCGATTACAACATGTACAAATGACAACTAAGGTGACAAAAGAGCTTTTTCCCAAGGAAGTTATGTTTGATTTGATTTATCACAGGGAAGATGATATAATTGAGATATCATACATATTATGTAGCTCCTAGTTATTCCTTATCTTTACAAAACGTATATATAAATGTAATTGATTTATTCTACATATTTGTGTACCTACGTGCATCTACCATAATGTAATTCGTCAACCATTTTCACGGACGACGAGAGACCGAGTTAGGGATAGAATTAATTGGTTTCAGATGACAATGATTCAAAGGACTGAGACGTGCTAAAATCTATTTTGTGTCCTATTTCTTTTGCCGAAACCTTTTTTCCTGAATTAAAATCTGGTTATGATTCAAACCCCATTGTAAAGACAGCTCTACATTTTCATTTCGTTAAATTAAGCACGGGATATGTTGGGGGTATATCAACATCTATAAACACATGCTATGATATATCAAAACATACAATAAAACAAAGTGGCGTCTTGTTTAGTCAAACACGCATTTCCAGAATGATGTAATATCAACATGATAAAAGTATGAAACCTGCATTGTGTTAGATCGAATTAGTTACGTGCCAACAGCAAGTAACAGTCTACAGGAAGATGTGAAATCTTTGCTTTAATTCTTATTGGCGCTCACATGGCGGATAAAAATCGTTTGTACATTTTGAAGTTCTTGGTTTGACCTAGCAGAGGATGAACCCACATTCTACATGTACAAAGCTCTAGTCATCGAGAGCGACACCAAGAAGTCACTGAAGCGGTTAATTCAATCTGATCAATTATTTTTGAAATGATATTTCCTATCCATTTTGTTATTCGTTGCCCCAGTTGACAATATACCCATGCATACAACTATGATGGCGTAGCAATATTTCGACGTAAAGACATAAGCATGCAATAAAGTGTAAGATATTTTCACAAGAACTTTGTGCTGATGTCAATGGATAAAATAAAGAAAGCTTTAATGACTTGAAATAATTTGCTGTCAAGGCATTACGCCTTATGATTTTAAGTCAGACTAAGACTTAATTGCGTTCCAAGATAGATCATAAGATGTGTGAATTTACATACAAACTGCATAAAAAAGGCCTGTAATTCTTACAATTGACAGGAAATAAAAAAATGGTAATGGTATCACTCCTGCAATTGAAATAAAATAAGATGAACACACAGTTTGAAGACATGTCGTCTTTGTTTATGTCATGTTGATGGTCGATCTATGGTGATATCTCCAATAACATAAACGGTACTAATTTTGCTGCACCAGATGGGCATTTCGACAATCAATGTCTCTTCAGTGATGCTCCAAAATATTTGAAAATCCAAAGCTTATTAAAAGGATGAAGAGCTAGAAACCAAAAGGACAAAAAAGTATAGGCAAAGCCGGGCAAGGAATCAGAGCTTTGCATGAGGGAGATATATTCCTTAATTCTCTAAATGTATTCACAACTTGTCTAGACTAGGGGTCAATAGGTACAGATACGTGTCTATTGTTTGATCTCTAAATGACGTTTTTCGCCTACTGTTGTTGGGTTGCTTTTTTGACGTATTGTCTTTCTCTTTACTTTAGTAACTTCCATTTTAATCAAATGGCGTTGATCGTTGATCTTTGTTCTCAGTTGATAGTGACTGGGATCACATCTTTTTTTAAACGAAGTGCAATTTAAAACTTTAAGTAAAGAAAAGACACTTGTCTTTTATTGGAGACAGTGTGTTGACCTTTATATCTTTGTTTTATTGAATTGAGTTGCTTGTTTTTCTGTCTCGTGTCTACATCGCACAGGCTTACGCGTTAAGTTCAATGTATTTAAATCAACTAAATGACTTTTATGTCTCCCTCTCTGGGCTTAATCAGCATAAGAAAACTGCACCGAATGACATTTACAAATGATTGTAAAATATATGAGGATGTGAATGGGGTTTACAGAATAGAGAATAATAAGCGAAAAAATATAGAATAGATAAAAATGGCCGTAATTAAAGAACAGAGATCAATGGTTGCACTAATATTAAGACGAGAGAATAATGGGTGACAGAATAAAGATCAGAGAAAAATGGCCTTAAAAATTAAAGAATACAGAAATTAACCCCTCCCCCAGACCGTCATATTAGAATTGCAATTGTTATAAACAATATTACCTAATCCTAATTACCGACAAATCAAAAAAGAGTATTGACTTAATCATTTCAAGGATTACTAGGATCTTCTAAATAAAACACTTTCCTTCAATTCAATTTTAACATTTAATCAAGCAGGCTAGGGATATTTTTCAAGGAAATAGATACTATACAATGTAATGAAAGGAATAAGTACACACTGATTTTACATGTACAAAAAATATTTCTAGTTTTCACAAAATAGCAACTACAAGATGTACAGTTAAATAGTAAGAAATGAAACTGTAGAAACATATTAGAAAGCTACGACTTAGGCTAAATGTACCTATAGGGTTCAAATATTGCAAATATAAACAAGATACACATATTGATGGTCTGGTAAAGGCTTAATTTGTCGCCACCAGGAACAAGTAGACGTCTTTTTCGAGGTATGAAGATATGACATGTGACATTCCTAACTGGTATATAAAAGTGTTTGGTTTGTAAACCTTGCTATATCTCCGGACATTTATCACCGAGGTAAGTTTTCAACAACCGCTAGTATTTATTTTATCCAACAGGAACAAGTGTTTTAAAGAAATGTTGTCTAAAAATACTATGTGAGCAAGGATTTTAAAAACATTTTCTCTCAAGTGAAAACAAAATGATGCGAAATATTTAGATGAGGGATTTGTTTTTAATAACTTATAACTATTACTCGTTATAAAGCAATGTTTTACGCACAGGAGCTTGGAATTTCACAACCTTTTTCCATTTTTTCTAATATGAATATATTTTTGTAACATTTCTTTACACAAATGCAGCACAAATTCTGTTGTCTTTAACATGTTCATATTTTCATCAAGACAATTGCAAACTGGAAGCAGTTTATATGTATCGCCCTTCTACTCTTATGTTTCATCGATTTTCGGGCTGCTTCCCAATGTTAATGACGTGAAAAATAATTACAAATTTCCTCAAAGTGATCAGCAAATTGCTGTTGTTAGTATTTCTGAGTTAGTACACATGAGAATAAAGGCGTTTTATAAAGATGATAAGTATAGCGAGTAAGGTCTCACATGGCTATTCAAGAAAATTAAATTTGGAGCCGATATATCATAACCTATGTCGCATATATCTGGAATCGTAGCAGGAAATATTAAGAAAAAAAAAAATAGAAAATTACAATGCGAAGGAACTTCAAAAGGTGAACACGAACAAGCTTTCTATTTAACAGAATTTATTTTTTAAAAAGGTCGAGAAATTTTTTTTTTATCAACTCTGTTGAAACATTATTTTCGTTCCTTTAGATATAAATTCGACCGACTGTTCATAAGATTACAAAAAAATCAAGATGAACTCTGACATCCCATATCACTTGTAAACAAAATGTGTTGATTGTTTTCTTTTTCTTTTTGTTATTATGCTAAACACAACTGTGAGTTTTTACAAACTTAGTTTGCTACTATAAATGAATAAAATGATTTTAGTACTATGGCCAAAGATCAATTTCTAAGGGAATTTGCATGATTAAAAGCTCAATTCATAAACTGTCAAATATCACGTATTTTCTCTCCTTTATGTCGTTAGATTTCATTTCGGGTCAACAATGAGCGAACTTTGAAAAGTTACTGAATGGCTGGCAAAGGTCATATTGAATTTTTGATTTGTTGCCCATTTACTAATCAAATTCTCAAGTTCATACTTTAACGCAAAATTTGTTATGTATAATTAAGAAACGCATGTATTTTTATACCTTTTCACAAACGTCCAAAATCTTCTTCAAACTTTGAAAATCAATCAATAATTCAATTGTATTTATTGAAAATTGTCAATGATTTGATTGGATGCCGATTGGGACTGCTATCTTGATTCACTTAGACAAGGATATGAACAATTGTTAAATAAAAAAGCATATGGCGTGGCTTATTTCCTGTAGTTTTTTTTCACAATAAAAATTGGTCGTTAGTTATACTGAACTGTGTTTGCCTTACGAGTATTTTCATTCTCGTAAGATTTTTCATGAAATAAATCGCCGAATAATTTGTTTCCATTGTTAAAGTTGCAGCAATGAAGCCTCTTCAAGTAGTATTAGTTCTTTCCTTGTTAGTGGTCGTATATTCTGCTGGATATAGTTCTTATGGTAGCAGCGGTTACGGTAGAAGCGGTTATGGTAGCAGCGGTTATGGTGGCGGCCATGGAGGATCATATGGTGGCGGCCATGGGGGATCATATGGCAGCGGAGGATATGGTGGAGGATCATATGGTAGCAGAGGTTATAGTGGAGGATATGGTGGTAGCCGATCAAGCGGGGGATTAAGTAGCCTGCTATCCAGTTTAGGTAGAGGTCTTGGGGGTCGTAGTGGAGGATCATACGGAGGAGGAGGTTATGGAAGCAGCTATGGTGGAAAAGGATATGGAGGAGGTTATGGGAGTGGAAGTCGAGGAGGAGGATACGGCGGAGGATATGGTGGTGGGCGTAGTGGATACGGTGGTGGAGGATACGGCGGAGGGCATAGCGGATACGGCGGAGGTTATGGTGGTGGAAGTGGACGTGGAGGATATGGTGGAGGATATGGCGGAAAAGGATACTCTGGTTATTGAAAATGTAAAACACTGCCCCTTGAATCTGATCAAATTAGAGGTAAGCAAGCACTGGTTGATCTACGTCAATTGAAACTGTTTAATTTCAATTGGTTGGTTGAATATTTGATTAAGTTTGACTTAATATCTCAGTTACATTTCCGCTTTATATTGACGACAATGTTCTACGTATACAATACATTGTTCAAGAAATTATGTGAAATGTTTGTAACTACTAGTATAGTATATCATTTATTGATCTACGTCTGAATGTACTTGTTATGTTCAGTATAACATAATTTCAAGTAAATGATAGGAAAAAGATGAGATTCGACTTATGAGAAAATAATACAAAATCATGAGTCGACAAAGGACGGTGAACATAATGGTAGAAAGAAAAGAAACTACACGTATAGTCCACTAAACATATAAGTTACACAGAAATCCCACAAAAAAGTAGTGTTAAAAGAAAATGATCCAATAGGAAAATAATTTACGTCTGCACTAATAGTGTTACTCATGTTCAAATTTGATGATAAGTCATAATCGGTAATAAATTAGAGGAAACACAGTGAACCAGCAAACGTCTCTTGTCTACAGCAAGGATATTATCAATTTTATAAACAATCAGTTCTCGCAAATCATTACCCAGCCACATATATTCTTTATTCTTACTTTAAAGAAATTAAAGGATGAAGATTAAATTTTATCCATCGAAAATGGCCATCGAAGTTGCTTTAATATAACTCTTATGTTTAGTTACTTTGCTGGTCAACGGACTACCGGAGTTCTTTTATAAGGCAAGTGTGCTCTACTTCCCGCCAATTAATCTCCTTATATGTGTATAAATTAAATTTCATTTTACGGCTTCTTAAAATGAATGAAACAATCAAGCGCAATTCCTTAACTTCGCTATCTGCCAAACCAATGTTACAATTTATAATTCAAAGTTTGATATGTCTAACAATTGCATCTATTCAATGGAAGCTAAATTAAAGCATACCAAAAGTCATAGAAAACCCGATGACAGCATATCATAAAAGAAAAAACGACAGACAAACGGTCCACAAAACACTACATAGAAAACTAAAAAATAACATCATGAACCCCACCAAAATCGGGTGTGATCTCAGGTGCCCCGGAATGGTAGGCATATCTATATGCTCCACATGTGGCTACCGTCGTATTGCTCCTCTAATAACTAGCATACGGCAGTGAATGCTGATTTAGAACTAAATGATGGCGATTGTTCATTTTTTAAGAATCACTATAATATTTGAAGGAATTGTCGAGTGGATTCAAAAAGATCACGATTTATAAGCACTTTTGTAATATTGTTATGCATATAAATACAGACGATATATTCCTATACGATATTCATACAGAAAGAAAAGAGTGAACCGTTATTTTATTGTAAAATCTATGACTTAATGAGTGATTTAAGTCAGTAACTGAGACTGCTTTATCTATATGTCCTCAATTGTTTGCTTTCAGATGCGACAAAAGAAATCTGGAGGAAAAGAAGAATTTACAATAAAATTGTAAAGTTCATACGAAAACAAAGCTTGTATTTTGTTTTATTAGATGCTTTTTAATTAATTTTCTTTTTGTCTGTCTTTCATCCTTGTTTTTAAACAAATCTTTTTGAAAACTAAGATCTTCCTATAATAATCTAAACCAATTCTGTTCGTTTAAGTCATTGTACATCTTCTGGTAATGGCATGTATGTTACAAAATGTATTAATTACAACAATCGCGTCCAGTTGCATTTCCTCTACATGTTTTGGATATAGCATGTATGAAAAGATAATCATGCATACCCTCTGAAGTACCGGATTTCATTTTCAGTTTTGATGGAATAGAAAAAGAAGATATGTTGAACTGATTCCTGACACAAAGTCCCTGAACGCTCTTAAAAAAAACAAAAGTATAGGATCTGCGCTTTGATTTCTATTTCTCAGCTTAATGTCAAAGTGGGACATTTAACATGTTACAAAAGCTCACACAATGGGGCTAGCTCAGGATGGGTCGTGGCCTCAGTTCGAGCGCAATTGTATACTAGATTTCAATAAGACTACAAATGTACATTGAAGAACACAGCAGCGGAGTACAATCGTCAAATTACAGATTATATCCATGATAACCGGCAAAGAAAGCTAACAAATATTGTCATAATTTGCCCTACACTAGAAAACGAGTTGTGATCTGAAACGGTCATTTTGATCTGCACAGGTCTTAAAAGACTGCACAATAAATTATTGATTTAGACAATCTGCTTGCAGTCAATCAAAATCTGCTCAGTCTATGTTCAAACTGTTCAGTAGTTGTTATTTATCTGTACATAACAACAGTATACTGAATTGTCTAAACAACTACTGAACAGTACTGAATCAACTGCAATCGAACTGTCTGAACATTACTGAATGTACCGCTGTAGACAAGCCTGAAAATTGACCGGAAGACTGAACATGACTAAATAATTTATTGTTCAGACTTTTCTGATGACGTTAAGATCAAAATTACCGGTTCAGACTAAAATGCACTTACTAGGACAACAATCTTATTGTAAAAATCTAGTACCATAGTATTAACAAACATGGGTCATATCAATATATGTGTTAGATAACTTGTTAGTAATTGTACTAGTATACATAGGGCATGTAATACGATGGACTGAACAATTATAAACATATAACCAAAAGAAAAATAGAAAAAGTATTACACATAAAGAAAATGATGTATAGAATAAAAACGCCATAACTGTATAAATATGAGATCAGACCCATCAAGCACGGGGTCATTTTCTCATCAATGCAATAGAAAGAGACATATAGTGCATCAATTTAGGACACAATAGTCTTACACTCTTTTGACAAACCAAAAGTTGAGTAATAACGTTTTAATTGCTGCTTTTCTTTTCAAAATCATAATGAGACCCTTATCCAAAACAAAAGTTCACCCCTCAAGATTAAGACGGCCTCTAGAAAATGCATATTGAAATACGCATTGCCCGAATTCCTTTTACGTGTATACATGTACATTTGACCATTGAGTAATACATGTGTGAAGTAAACAGTCTTTTTTTTCCTTTTAATGTGTCACTTGCACTCTCTTTCAAGCTATTTGTGACTCTTAAGTAAACATATGAAAGGTGAAGTTCGGTAAATGGTCGTAGCATTTGACGAATAGAAGGTTTATGAAAGCAACGTTTGTTAGAGAGAATATTAGGTGGAAAGATAAGGATATCGAATATATTTTTTGACACCAGATGGAAAGCAATTGTAAAAGTTAATGGTTGCATCGAAAATAAAAATACAAACGTCGTGTAGAATTCGAAACGAATCTGAAATGAAATAAGTCTGTGCCAGAACAAATTTAAGTTTTGGTTAATGGACCTTCAAATAGAAAGCTTTGAACTGTTGACAATATTTTAATATGACTTTAAACACCAACAAAATATAAATATATCTCTCAATGACAACCGTTTTTTTTTTGTTCAAACAGTTGCATGTTTTGATTGCATAATTGAGACAGTCTGTTAAACTGATGGCGGTTGCAGACGATGAATAAGAGGTAACATAAGTTAACCTATGTTAAAATTTCGTAGATCGATTTTGAAAACACAAAACAAAGTAACAAATTGAGGGAATCGCATCAAATCTAAACGGGATAAGACCAGTGTGTTTTACAGGGTAAGTGTCTCCTGCTATTCATGTATCACCCACAATGCGAATCTAGTCATTTTATAAATGTCAAGATAGGAAAAAGGACTCAATCGATCAATAAATAAATTATATGACTATTCTGGTATCTTAAAAAGAGAGAAAAGATACAAGGGATGCAATAGAAAATCGTAAATCGACAACAAAAAAAAAACCAACAAGGTTAAAAAGACAAACAACCCCGACGACAAAACATTACACAGAAAACTTAAACACGAACCCTACAAAAATGGGAACGAATTTAGGTGCGTAGGGAGGGTAAGTAGTCCCTTTTTACTAGTGATAACTGTCGATTTCTTCTTGTTAAAAAATCATTGATGAGTCATATTCAGTGATTATCATCACACCACAGCGGATAAATGCGTATGGCTCTTGTCTAACCATAAAATAGCACCAGCTGCAAAAACTATCAATACATGTAAATATTCTAACCCCAAAACTTGACTGTTAATGAAAGTTTGCAATGGAAAAATGGTTTTCCAGGACAAAGGATAGACACGATTTTTACCCGTAATATGAAATTGCACAAAATAAAAAAATACTGATATCAAAGAAGCAAAGCAACAAAAGCTCATTTAAAACTAAACTAGGTGCTCGGGAAGGCCAGACAGTTTCTACTTCACCCGTCGTGTTAGTCATTGCAAGTAGCAATTCGTTGATAACTTGCGTTCGATGATTTTCAATTGATGAAAAGAGGAGACCGCCAAAACATGTCTTTCGTGAATTGAGATACAGACACATCATTTATCTATCGGTCAACCAATTTTTGATGGTGACTGTGAAAACTGTGTGCTTTCGGTGACCGATTAAAATGTGTAAATGCAGTACAATGGGACAGAGAGTATGTTACTACTGATAAATGAGAAGGTTACAATGCAAAAAACTGAAATCATCAACTTCGGACGCATGCAATTTATAAAGTGTTGTTTTCATTTTTTACTGCACTGGGTCGATACCGCTGTTGGTGGACTATCTGTCCTCGAGGGTATCATCAGCTCAATAGTTCGTACTCCGGAACTGAGTGATTTATAATAAACCTTTCTAAATATTCCGTTAATCAATTTATTAATTATATACAAACTAAGGTTTTAACTCCCTGACGCAAAGTTGACCTTAGAAGGAAATGGTTATGTGTCATGTCCTTTTTAATGATATAGCTCTTCAACTGTCTCGGTTCTTATATTTGGCTTTCAAATATATAACTTTTGGTGTTCCTGATTGAGCGGTTCGGAAGCATGACATTCATAAAGTGTTGTTTTCATTTTCTGAGAGATTACAAAAAAAACACTGTGGTAAGATCTTGATATATTGTCTTCATCGGTAGTAAACTTGA